CCCCCCTGCCATACCACAAAGCTCTCAATTTTTTACAGAAAATCAATGATGAATTTGAAAACTAAAACATTTTCAGATTACTATATTCCTAGAATATACCCAATTTATAGCTTGTCTATAGGCTAAGTAATTTTCATGTTTATTTTTTTTTGGCACTTCAAAGCAGGGAGAAATTCATATTACGCTCCCCCCCCCCCCCCCCCCCCCCCCCCCCCCCCCCCCCCCCCCNGGAAAAAAGATAAGGCTCAGATTTTGATCTTCAACACACACATGAGAGCCCCATTTACAGTGCTCTCTGGCGCCTTGCGACACCTGCCACAGACCTGTACCCTTCTTAAGCCCCATTTCGGTCTACATTTGGTAAACTAAAACGGTATTTCTTTACTTTATTTTTAAACTTTCCGTGTAGAGAGGTACATTGTTACCTCAACGTAGCTTATCGTAGTTTCAATCACAACTTGTACATTGGATAACTGTGGTTTTAATACAGCCATGTTCAGCCATGAATTGGTCCTTCTATAATTTTCTTCCCCTTATCACGAGGCATTCCACCTGCGTTTTTAAAACTAACCGATGGTACACGAGCGCCTAAGAGAAGCAATAATATTGAATACATTGCAGCTGTTTCTAATTATTAAGGTTGCTTTTGATATTTCTGGAAAGGTTAGGTCTTAAGGTGGAAGGGAGGTGGGGAGACTGCCTTTTAAACCTCCGTTAAAATGCTCTCCTCCCTTCACAAAGTGTTCACTATTTCCGAAATGTTTCAAAGCATGGGCACAGTTGTTTAAGGAGTCCTCTCACCTCATAGAACCAGGGTGTCTACAGGTCTGGAAACCCGGGAGTTTTCAGGGAATTTCATCAGATCAGGAAAATTTTGGGAAAGTTAGAAACTTTGATGATTAAGCTTCGAATTTTGAAAAATCTGCTTGAAACTTCTCAGTTAGGTTCGGGATTTAATGCTCTCAGTCACATTCTGGAGAGGAATCAGAGGAATAATTTTCAATGAGAATTGTGATTTTCGTTAATTGAATAATTAATACTTGAAGACAAAAGGCTGAAATGTCTTAGTCATTTGAAGTGAAATAAATGCAAAACATTCTTTATTTTCAGTTCTTTGTGTGTACATTGACAATGTGAAAAGTCTAATGATTTTGATTATTTCGATCAGAGAAAACGTGGAAAAATCAAGGAATTTTTGTCTGCCAAGTCCGTAGACACTCTGGAAACTAAACATTTTTCAGTTGAAATAACCAACATAGGTAAAATTTGGGTTTTTGTGCCGAAATTTTCATTTTACAATCTAATACAGCAAGCCCTGTATTTTGTTAACCCGACACGGTACCCCATCTTTTAACTTACAATAGCAGAGGCCTTGAGTTCTGTTTAATACGATAACTTAAGTAGAAAGTTTGTGTGAAGTTTTTTTAATTTGATATAAGAGAAAGAGCCCTGTAAGGTCTCAGTCTCAGGAAAATCGCAGATTGAGCTTTTTTGCTATGATGAGTCCTTAAAAAAGTGTCTATTTTTATAATTCCTGTAATTGGTGTAAATCTGTACTATAATGTTACTGTTTTGTGTACACTTGTTGTAATTTTCTCCCCTGTAAATAACCACTCCTCTGTGCATATTTTTATCTCGTTTTCGTGTTGCATACTTGGTGTTGTAAATGACTTCTCTGTCGTGCGCTCTCGCGTAGCCAGGTGCGGAGATGTAATTTGATTCTCCGACCTCGTAACTTTTTTTTTTATTTTTTTTTTAAAAACTAATTCACTTTATTAGTGTCCCTAGACTAATGACTGAGAAATCAAGTGATATTTGATGACGGACCTTTGTACAGGATTATTGAAAACTCATGTTTTGTAAATTATAAAATTTATTAAAATAAAATGTTTTCACTGAATACTGCAGTCGTTATTATACTTTGTATTTGACGTACTCAAAGCTTAGTTTTTAATCCTTGTGATCATCTACTAGAAAAGGGATCATTGAGGGGGGGGGGGAGCAAATTGCTCAGATAAGCAGATTTTCTCTAAGCTTAATTGAACGAATTCAGGCACTGACAGCATAGCTGCATTTCATTCATATTGCTTGTACTACTTCCTTGACCAACAACTAAACAACATAACACTTGAAAACGTTGTTTGAAATTTTCCTTGATCATTAAGACTTGCTCACAACATTTCAGGTGCGAATATTGCATAGTTGCCTTTTGTAAAAATTAAACAAGTCAAAAAATTATGCCTTGTGAAATGTACTTGGGTTACTTCCTGAAAAACCTATTGAATCGTTTCAAATTAATCCAATTCTTAAGCTTCAGAGTTCAGGGTAAACAACTGAAATCATCAGTAACGTTTAATAAAAACTTTTATTCAACAAAAATGAAACAAGATATGCGCAAGTATAAAAAAAGGGGAAATACAAACATGGGCTTATATATTTTCTCCCTATCATAATTACTCTCTTTAAATTTTACATCTGTTAGTCTGTTATGACGAATCTCAGCAGAAACTTTGTAAGGTCTACCAAATATTAAAAAAATGGGTCTGAAGAGGGAAGCAGAGAGGTTTGCGATCAGCACTAGAAGCCATTTATTTATTTGATACAATCTAAATTGTATAGAAAGAAAACATGTTAAGGTACCATTGGCAGCAACCTGGAGCACACAAATCAGGGCAGACGAACCATGAACGATTCCTCATCCGGACCCATTCTCTTATTTTTCAAATTGCCGCATTGCCTTTCAGGCTCTTCCCGAATTTTCCTCAACCTCCAGTCAATATTGTGCTGACAGCAAAGTTGGACGCACGGAGATATGGTGGTTTTAAAAAAAAATACAAAAAGTATGCTAATTAATACTGGAATTTCCACCAAACCAACAAAAAACTCACCTTTTTCGAGACGAAAAAAATCAAGAATTTGAGAAGGAGGAATGTAGCCAATAGAATATAATTAGGTACAGCTTACCCTAGTTCGTAGTTATTGAAGGTTTTCTGAATAAAAATTAAAGAATTAGCGGCTTTTCAGTTCTGCTCTGCAAGAGAGCTTTCTTAACAATGAATTTTGTGAATGATTCACCAAATCCATTTACATGAATCGGTTCTCCTTCACTTCCATGCAACCATTCAAAACGTCTGAAGTTACTGCCGATTGTTGCAAACAAAATTCATAGGCATCGCCTTAGCATGCCAAATTGATAGGTGTCATTTTATAAAAAACAGTCTCAAGGATAAAAACCGGTGATGTTTTTAATCGCTTCACCCTCTAACGTGGGATCTACCGGTAGGAAAGCCAAAAATTCCATGGTGAACGATGCTGTGCCGGACGTACTTATGCGCAATTCTCGGGAGAAACCAAGAAGCTGCGACAAAGCGACATTAGCTGTTATCGTCTGCAAAAAAAAAAAAAAAAAAAAAAAAAAAAAAAAAAAAAACTGTTTTTAATTGACTGAAGTAAGAGAGCATTGAAGAATCGGTCAAAGATTGATCAAGTGAGTACAATATTACTACTATTTAAAGCAGTTGGTTCAAATTGAAACTGGCTGTGATGATGTAAACAATAGGGTTATCCATTTCGCTAGACGGATAGAAGTAACAAAGTGGGACAAACGTTAAGTCTCTATAAAGAGAGGCTGTTTCTGTAACAAATGAGTTTGCCCGCGTTTAGTCATTTGAGGGCTACATTTGGGGGTAACTATTCAAGGTGTCTCGAATCGAAACTTGGAGGATCAATTTTCTGACTGGTTAGACTATTTTTTTTTCCATGAAATTTGATCATTTGAGCCAATTTGGATGGAGATATATTTTTTATATCCTCTAAACCTCCCGACGTTTCTAGCTTTCACTTTTTTTTGTCGATAGAAATGGATAAAGCACATTAGAATAACACCCGACCCCATTTCATGAAATTTTGTTGATGAATGTGGCCTGCATTATTATATGTAAATTGAATCAGTGCAAATTTTCTGTAGAACATTTCTTCCAACAAAGTTTGTCTGATTGATTTTTTACCATACAAATTCAATATGAAATGAATAAATGCAAAATAAAAATTGAAAATGGACCAAAAACATTCTAAATCATGATTGTTTGAATAGAACATTTTTTTAGCCGAAATCCTACAATTTTAGATATGCTTCACTCGTTGGACCAGCATGTTGTAAGACAAAAAACTATTGTTATACTGACTTTGGAGCAAAAAAACTGGACAAAGTGACCTGAAACCAGCTACACTTAAAAAAAAAAAATAAAAATTTTCAGACCTTTAAGAGGCCACACTACCCCTTAAAATTGCTCAAATGAAAACATATTGAAAAACAAAATATGTAGTCTTAATTCAGTCTTAAGAATCGATCTTCAAAGGTTTTGCTACTCAAGCCTTTCTGCAAATTAGAAACCGTGTATTGAAAAAATAACGACGCCATTACATTGATAGTTGAGAGCTTGTCGGATAGATGTGAAAAAGCAATTCAACCCTTACCATAGTTCCTTTCCTTTCAGAGATATTGAGGATCTGTCCTCGCCGCTTTGACAACTCAGCCATTACTTTTGGTGATATAGTATTCGGAGCCATCACTTCAACGGTCATGATTGGTTCCAGTAAAGATGTGCCTGCCTCAGCTAATACCTAAAGAAATAAGGCGATGCAAAATCAGATTATGAAAAATTGACTGCAGAACCATACTACCTAGTTCCGTTTGATAGAGATATGTCCAATTACAATTAAACGCACATTATTTAGTTATTGAGCTAGCTTGAGTTAGTGAGGGCTTCAGAGGAAAATGAATTTTAGATCAAATACTGTGCAGACGGAGATATTGTAATACTAAAAAAACACAACTCACTTTTTGAACACACTGAGCTGTTGCAGATGCTACGACTGACTCAGGAGTGCTCCTATGAGTTTCAAACCAATTCAACGTGAACTTAGCGTTCATGACAGGACATCCAACTTTTGGCCCGTGAAACATGGATGACTCGATTCCTCTCTTCATTGCTTTTAAATGTTGTTGTGTGAGGGTGCTCATTTTAGAAGCTAATTCTTGACTGCTTCGATCTAGTTTCAGAAGATCTTTGTTATCCGGTGGTGCTGGCTCGACAGACAGTGTAACTGAAACATTGTTAGCGTACTTTCCTGTGGAAGAAAACATTGCACACTTTAGTTACAAGCGCAAAATTGATTTTTGATACCAGAGCATTGAGGAAGGCTCCAAAGTCATTTTGGGAAATAAATCACCCAAAAATTTTAAATTTGACCGGAGTCGTGGTGGTTTGAAGTTTGTAGTTTTGAAACTCAGTTCAAAAATCATATTAAAATTCCAATCTGCCAAGCTCATGCAGGGCTTAAAATTAACGCCGTCTGATAAAATTTTATGACCTCTGCTGGCAAAAAAAGAAATAAATGACATTTTTTTTTAAAGTTCCGATCTGCCAAACTCAGGGCTTAAAATTAATGCAGTCTGATAAAACTTAACTACCTCTGCTGGCAAAAAATGAAATAAACCATTTGCAAATTATGCTTAAAGGCACTGACAAAATCAAACCAACATCTCAAAAATAGATTTTTTGACCCAATGGGTCAGTGGGATGCATTTTTTTTATTCCTTTTCTGAAAGTACGGAATGAACTAAGCTTCTAGGAATTTTTTTTAATCCTAAATGGCAAAGGAGTCCCGTTTTGAAAATGCTAACAATAGGACCCATTTGAAACAATACCTATTTTTGGCGAGCTCTGATGACATAGCCAAGCCCGGGAAACGGAGTTTGCTGATTGGTTAAACTTACTAGCTTCCGGCATCACCTTGCTAGGTCCACTTAACTGTCAGCTTTGGATTGGTCGGACTGTGAATAAATTTTTCTCCCCTTAGAAATGATTCTTTGAAATTTTTAATGAAAAGCCGAAGAAAAATCACAAAAATTTAGGCACTGTTAATGATCGTAACAAAGTTGAAAATCATGGAAAAATTTGGACTAACAGCTTCACCATAGATATGGTTTTCCAGTCTTGTGTTTCCAGTATTTTTTTTACTTTTCTTAAAATCATTGTTTTTAAAACATACCTACGGCAACTTTTGACTCATGAGTGATTTTAGCTCTTCCGACAACGGATTCTCTATAAGCAATCTGCAATGGACCCACATCTGCTTCAATTTTATAATCACTTCTAATTCTATCTTTGACGATTTCCAAGTGTAATTCGCCCATTCCTAAAAACAATTGGAGAAAAAATGACATTTCAATATCAATATAAAAAACTTGATGGTTCAGTTTTAGATACAGCAAAAATCGGGATGTAAGTTCCTTTATGAGTGCATTCGATAGCTACAGTCGAAAAAGCTTGCCTCCAATTGCGGCATTACAAATATTTGCTCATATTTTATTTTCTTTAAATATAGGTAACTAACAATTTTGGTGAAAATTTTCTGTAAATTTTCTTCATTTATTTTAAAATATTCTCAGAAATTTTTAAGAATATATTTCAGTTACTTTTCTTTTGAAAAAAAAAAAAAACAAACTAATGTGAGTTTTTTAAACATTGCTAATTGATGATCCATGGCTAAGGTGCATAATCACGGATTATGATTTGCGACGTTGCAGATTTCCAGTCATACTTTATTTTTCCTTTGGAAAACCTTTCAATGTGATTTCTTGTAAACTTCCTTGACTTTTCTTCTCTATTAACAGAAAAAGAATGAAAGTCTTTCCTGCAAAAGTCTTTTCTGCATAAAAGTCAGACTATGCAGTTGACTTGCTCCTCTTTCATAAAAAATAAGGGGCAGAAATTATGAAACAGTGCAATAAAGATACGTGATTTCACACTTCGGCTATCGATGGATATTTTACGACTTTAGCCTTCAATATTATGAACGAGCCAGAATTTTGAAATTGAACAGTATTTTTATTTACAAGGACTTTTCTATGATAATCCTGTGGTGAGAGTGGAATATTTTCAGTTTCGGATGTTTATTCGGATGGAAACGTGATTCTTTTCATACCTCCAAGTATCGTTTGACCAGTGTCTGGATCAGTAGTGACTCTCAAACCTGGGTCTTCCCTCTTGAGATTTTCTAAGGCTAGTTCGAATGCATTTTGTACCGATAACGAGGGTGCTTCGATCGTGCAGAAGAACACAGGATCAGGAATGATGACATCTCCTCCCAATAACTGGTACGCTTCTTTTTCAGAAATTTTCTTCTTCTTTGCTAGGGTTGCGCTCAAGTCTCGGACGCAATTCTGACTAGAACTTATGTAATCACCACTTTTTGTATCCTACAAGCCAAAAATATAACATTTGTGACCACTGACCGGCAAAGGGACCCTAGCCCAAAAACACTTAAAATTCAATTATTGATAGCAGAGCTTGAAGATAAATTTTACAAAAATATCAACCAAGAATTGAGTAATGTCAGTTCAAATTTTACTCTTCAAAGGCTGTAGATTTTGAGAAAAAGAAATTTAAAGCTCTAATGTGCCATGTTCAGTTTATAATATTGCCCGCTTATTATGAAACTTTCACGCTCTATTTTATAAATAATCCCCTTAGTGTAATTAAACGTTTACAAAAGAGATCGATCCTATCCATCAGTGTCGTGGGACAAAAGAAACCCACCGCAATGATAAAACTCTGTATTAGATAACGGACGTTTTCGCATGCGTCGATTCAATTAAGGTGTTCAGAGCCAAAGCTGTTTTTTTTCCAGTGTGTCAACTTTATACTTAAGATATTATAGTTTGGAGGGATGTTTTACACACACTTTGGTACTAAAACGACCAAGTTTTAATACAAGTATTTTGAGTACAAACTAAATGCTACATAATGAGTCATGAAAAGAAAGATAAAGAAATTCTGCCTAACCTTCAAACCAGTCACTGCTGCAACATTGCCAGCCGTAACAGTATTGACTTCTTCATAATCATCAGCGTAAGCTATCATCACATTCTTTATTTGTTCGCTAGATTCAGCACGAAGATTGAAAATCTTCTGGTTCTGTAAAGGAAAAAACATTATAGAACATAAGCTTGTCTCTAATTAGTTTTTAAAAATATCAACCAAAAATCATATGTGCTGCGTAAACAATGCAATTGTTCATACCGGATATAGGTAGATTTCGAATAAATATCTACCTATTGCAGACGGTACGACATCGTAATTTTCGGGAATTTTCGCTCAAAGAGCATCGATCCTGAAGCCCTGAGTCGAAAAATGTAGGTCATAAAAAAAGTACGATATATATATATATTTATATATTTATATATATATAACTGGGATCTAACGAACCTTTGCGACCGTTTTTTTCCGGAACTATCCATACGATCAAAACGAAACTAAGCATGGTTCTTCACTGCTATGAGGTCTAGATCAAGTTTTCTTTTTCGTGAAAATCGATCCACCCCTTATCCGGAAAATCTCAAGTCCAAAAGGGGATGATTTTTCAAACTCGTCCGATCTTAGTCGGTGATACGTCAAAAAACTCGTCTCATCGTGGCCTTCAAAACAACCTATATTCATCTACCCTCTAAAACCACCCCTTATCCGGAAAATCTCAAGTCCAAATGGGGATGATTTTTCAAACTCGTCCGATCTTAGTCGGTGATACGTCAAAAAACTCGTCTCGTCGTGGCCTTCAAACCCTTCAAAACAACCTATATTCACCTACCCTCTAAAACCACCCCTTATCCAGAAAATCTCAAGTCCAAAGGGGGATGATTTTTCAAACTCGTCCGATCTTAGTCGGTGATACGTCAAAAAACTCATCTCGTCGGGGCCTTCAAAACAACCTATATTCACCTACCCTCTAAAACCACCCCTTATCCGGAAAATCTCAAGTCCAAAGGGGGATGATTTTTCAAACTCGTCCGATCTTAGTCAGTGATACGTTAAAAAACTCGTCTCATCGTGGCCTTCAAAACAACCTATCTTCACCTACCCTCTAAGACCACCCCTTATCCGAAAAAAACTCAAGTTCGAGGGGGACGATTTTCCGACCTGTCAGGCTCATTAGGCGCAATTGTTTTCACAGAAACGATTAGTCGAAATCTACCTCTCGTTTCCACTGTGGCTAGAAAGCGTTTTTTTAGTTAGCCCTTTCTATGAGCTTAAAATAACAATACAGGAGGAATATTATGAGAAAATGACCAGTCTTAAAAAGGAGATGAGATGTTATAAAATGATCGATAATTAATCGTTCATTACAAAGAGAAAATTGCCCCACTAGTGGTTTATTGCATTTCACGGGTAGTTTCATCTTGGCATCATTTAGGAAAAGTCTTTATAGCGAGTGTATCGCCTTTAGGAAGGTTAATGGGGCTTCTCTTGATTGGCTCTGCTATCATGGGCTCTTTTTTGATCTCTTAAGACCCGAAAATGGCAGATTTTGGAGGCGCAATTATGCTAGGATAACTAAGAATGTGATTTAATTCGCCCTTAGTCCCTTGGAATTTTACTTCAATTAAGTAAGCCGATAATGAATGATAGCCAAAAATCAGGATCATTCAATTTACCTTTTCTAGTTTGCCACTGTAGATCCTAAAAAAAGTTATGGGTCCTTTCATTTTATCGTGCATGATTTTGAAAACACGGGCGTACAAGTTGTGACCGAAGAGATTCAGAATATCTGCATCGTGTCGATCTAGAGGGGATGGGAGGTACTGCACAACAGCATCCATCAATTTCTGAACACCTACATTTTTGTATGCACTTCCACACAAAACAGGAACGGCTTTCTGAAACAGAAAATGAGCATTGAAGCAGTTTTTGAAAATTCTGGCATCAAGGAAATATTAAAAAAATTTGATATTGAAATTTGATTATTCGATTCTCTTGAACTAAAAAGAAGACTGACTGCAATTGGCTAAAACAAAGTGCATACAGTTTTATGAGTGTACAACATAGAGGAAATTTTATCTCTAAAGAGTGCATTATAAGTTTTTACAGGGACTGTTTGCAAAATATATACTGCTCCAAATTGGATTTTTTGACTCCCTCTTTCCTCTGGTGATGCCTCGTGACACAGAAAGAAAGTTACATATCGCTTTGTTAAACCCCCACACATAAACTTTTTGTGATAAACTTTGGATGAAAAATTAACCACTTGCATAAATTTTACACCTTGGATTTCTGATAAAATGTGCACGCAGCGCCCATTTTACTGTTACATGACGCATTCCTGAACTTCCTCTGTGACACACCTGTAACACGTTTCTACTTTCGAAGCTGATTTTTAAAAATTAAAGATATTCTCAAATTCACTTATATTTTCAATATTTCTTAGATTTCACTTATAAAGTAAACCAGTTAAATATTCTTTACTGTCTCAATTAAAGCTGGCAAAATAAGTAAAACCTTACAGCATTTCAAAATTTCAGTTGGTGGAATCAATACATATTTATATTTAATTATTTCATAATACATAAAAACAAATTTGCTGTAAATTTACAATTTAAATAGAAAAAAGGCTGTAACATAGGCTCAGACCTCCCCTTTCTTCCTAGAGCATCACTTATTTTATGATAGGTCAAGTTGGCATGACTGATAAAAACATTAATCATATGAAAATCTTTACCCGCTGAATAGTGACTCTGCGTACAGCTTCAGTCAACTCCTTGCTTGAGATGCCATCCAACGAGTCTGAGGTGATTACAAAATCAGCAATGTTATCATCAATATCAGCGAGGGCGCTGGTTAAACGGTTACGAGCTTCTTTCGCGCTTTCCCATGCTACTCCGTCTACCTCAGTCAGTTGTTTCTCCATGACGTCCTCTCCTTGCTCACCAATGAACTTGAATTCCTTCATGTCAATTATGTCAATCAATCCTGATAATTTGTCCTTAACTGTCCAACAATTAAGAGGAACATTTAAAACTAGTAAAATGGTTCTTTGAAAACATGGGCGTGATCTTTCCCACCCTGAGACTCATTATCTTCCTTACGCTATATCCATATGAGTCGATGTTGAGAAGATTGATTCATACGTAGTTCCATTTATGAATCAAGCATACAGAGATGCAAAAAGATCATAGACTTCTCATTTTCCAAATTGTTCTTCTCATTGTGAAAGCCTTTCTTCTTAGAAAATTTCTGAGTGAAGACCTGTTTTCCGCTCTTATAAAACGAAGGACCCCGCACACCTCTTATGGGAAGCTGCACCACGACCGATTGCCTTCTGACTTATGTCATTCGATTCTCCTCAAGATGCTGATCAAAAGTTATATTTGCGCCAACTTTCTACGATGCACCGTTTTCGCAAAAAGATTCAATTATTCGGCGATAAAAAGCCAGAGAGATTCTTCATTTAAGTTCCCGATTGACAAGCGGCTGTGTGTCAACAAGGAAATCATGCGAACTCCCGCACCGAGCGGCAGTCTTATCTCGGATTCCGCACGCCGTTTTGCTCGACCATTCAAATCAGATTCTCGAGGAGCATAAGAACAGGAAAATCTGAACGTATACCGGGCGAGTGCGGGAGGGAGATAGCCCCTGAGTCGGCAGGTGCAGATAAGAAGACGGACGCGCACTACGTTTTTTCCTTATTTACATCGGGCCTGTCCTCAAATGCTTTGTTCTTTTTTATTCATAGTCGCCGAATAATTGAATCTTCTCTTAGGTCTTTTTGCAAAAACGGTGCATCGTAGAAAGTTGGCGCAAATATAACTTTTGATCAGCATCTTGAGGAGAATCGAATGACATAAGTCAGAAGGCAATCGGTCGTGGTGCAGCTTCCCATAAGAGGTGTGCGGGGTCCTTTCCACAATTTAGCAAGAAATACATGACTTTGACTGTTGACTAGTTTTACATAAAACATGCCATTTCCACCTTGATTTTGCGTTAACAACACAATTTTTACACTAAGATTCATCTTAACTTGGTTCCGAGACTTTCCCATTTTCACACACAACTGGTAACAACCCATCGGTTGCATCGTCAAAAACTAGTGCATGCATTGAATTTTTAATTTAGAAATTATGGGATGAAAATGGATCAAAAGCTCATGATAAAACAAATAATGACATTGGCTAAATCTAAACTGCTGTTTTAAGGGAGAGAATCCCATGAACATCTCAATTTACCAAGTTTTTCAGATAGAATGCTGATTCCTGGAGAAAATTGTACATAATATTTTCTCTAGATTTAAGGTGATTTTTACAATTGTAATTTGACTAAATTAACAGAAAAACAATAAATACCACCAAGTTTGACCAGATAAAAAGAACTTTAAAGTTTCATTAATCTATAACCCTCAATGTTAAGAGGAAAGTGAAATGACTATTATCAAGTTTAAAATATTTTTTCTTGACCTTTAATTTTTATTAAAGGAAAATTTAAGATCAGTTGAATTCAAAATCTCTTAATTCGTTTTTAGCAAAAATGCGACTTGATGGATTTCCGTTAAATTTGGTCCGATTTAATCTAGTGTAACTGAAATATTTTGAGGGACAGGTTTGAGAGATATCTCGGATATGAGTAATTTCCAAGGAGAAATTTAGTGATGTTTGGATGATTACGCAATAGCTTTCTTTGCCAGTGAAATGATAATCTACAAGCCATCGATTACAAAACTAGTCGAGTAACTAGTTGAGTAAGAAAGTTATTTATGTGTCTGATATGAAACTCATTTGAAAAATATTTTTCCTATTCCGCAGAAACACATGCAAAGTATTTAACTTGACAGCAAGAAGTAATTTTTATAGACAATTTTTGATGTTCAGTGGATCCGCCTACTATTTTGTAAACTCACCTCTGACAGGAATTTGAAGTAGTAAAGGGGTAACCTCTAATTTTTGTATGAGACCTTGCAGGCATAGTTTCAGATTTGCATCTGCTCTATCCATTTTATTCGCGAAAACGATGCATGGAATTTTGTAATTCTGCGCCTGCCGCCATACTGTCAAAGTTTGCGCTTCAACTCCTGAAAATAAGATGATTCAAGGTAAAAAATTTACAGATATTCAAAGATTTTTCTTAGCAGCCGATAAAATAAAAATACCAGAGGTGTAGGAAGTTTTACAATGCTGATTGTTTGCCATGATCCTGCCTTTCTGCCCCGCAGCGTTATTTCCAATTTGCCTCACGGCAAATTGTTTGATTTTACAGCAAAATGCCCAAAATCAAAGTAAAATGTGCAAGTTGCCTTATTTTATTTTTAAAGTATTGAGCAAAAGAAAAATAGTCATCATTTCATAAAATTGCTGTAATACCCAAGATTTGTCTTGCATTTGCCATGATTTGACCATTGCAAGATCAGGAAATTCTGCTTCCTCTTAAACTGAAACGTCTTCATGTTAAAAATTCAAACAAAATTATCGAGGGAAAACTTATTTCCAATAGAGTATTGATCAAACTTTTATGTTCATGGAAAGACAAATATTTTAAAAATATAAAATGAGACCTGAAGATGAGTCAAGGACAACCACCCCTCCATCCATTACTGCCAAAGACTGCTCGACTTCTGTTGTAAAGTCGATGTGACCAGGGGTGTCAACCAAGTTAATTTGGTGATCGGACCATGGAAATGTGACAGCAGCTGATGTAATTGTGATTCCTGGAAAAGAGAAACATATCTATGAAAAGACCTTGAAGGCAGGAAAAAATCCTAGATGTGATATCGCCTACATTTAAAAGCGATTACAGAGGAGGGTCTTAAGTGATTCAAAGAAAATGGAACATTTCTTTTCCAGATGAAATCCAAATTTTGGAAATTTCGCCATATTGCACTGAAAACATCGAACTTCACTTTCGCAATTCAGAATTTTTCTTCTTCTTAGAGTCCATAATTCTTGGGGGCATTCAAATCCTCCACTTTCAGCTACGATTTTTTGGGATTTAGGAGGATTTCAGCAAACAGTCTCATGATAGAGGCTTTATAAAGTAGGGTTCAGTGCAATGCTCAACTATGACATTCAGAGGATGGCGAGCAGCTGATGGAAATGGTTTCTTGATCTGATAAAATGCTTTGGGAATGGTAATCTGATAAAAGGTTTTTTTAGTTTGCATCTATTTCCTAGTTTTCAGCGCAAAATGGTCAAAACAACCAAAAACAAGCACTTATTGACCTTTCCTCTGATGAAAAAAATTCCTAAGGAAAGTAGTAATGTTGGCACTACATTGCATTAAATTTTTTTTCAGCAGAGTATTATGAAGCTCTGTACAAAGAATCTTATGCCAAGAGAATAACTGAATCAATGTTGGCTATTTTTAGTTGAGCTCCGGTTCACATACATTTTGAGACACTTCATTGCTTGTACCAAAATGTACTCCTCCCTTTTCGAAAATACTGATTTGACTCCCTTCAAATAGGGTCATTTTTGCTAGAAGTCTGCTAGGGAAATATGAGGAACGAAAACTCCCTGTTCCAAAAATTCTAAAAGTACCGTCAGATTTATTATTTTACCTCTTTTACGTTCTTGCTCCAGATAGTCTGTGACTGTGTTACCGTGGTGTACCTCACCCATGGCGCGAATCTTTCCTGAGTAAAACAGCATTCTCTCAGTGGTAGTAGTTTTACCTGAGGAGAAAAAACCCCAAAAAACAAGTGATTAGTTTATACTTAAACTAATTTCCACAGGAATAATTTCATCTCGACTCACAACTTGATTGTGAGATGATGACAGCATATTGATTTAATTTCATTTATTACATTTTAGTAGAGGTGTGTTACAAGCATTGCTTTTGTGGGTTGAAGATACATGTCGATGGTGAAACTACCAAACCACGTATCTCGGTTTGCGACGTTGCAGACTTCCTGTCATACTTTATTTTTTAGATGAAAAACTACTTAACATCCAGTCTTAAAAATTTCTGTGATTTTTCCTCTTTGTGCGGAGAAAATTCCGTGAAAATTTCAAGGAATGATATTGATTTGGTCTACTTCAAAAAAATAAAATGTGAGCGTAGATTTTTAAACACCACAAACGAAATACGTGGTTTGGTAGTTTCACCGACGATGTCTTGCTCAGTTACATTCAACTATGAAGTAATCAGCAATTAAACCTACAGGCAATAATATAACTGCATTCTTAAGATACTGCATCATTAATATATTGTTTGAAATTTATAATGGACCACTAGATACGGTACAAAATCATGCACCAAAATATATGTTTTCTCACCAATATTTCGTGCAAAATACATTGTGCACATCAAAATTTAGCGTATCAGACGTATACGCGTATATAATTTAGCGTATACACATGAGTCAGAAAAGAGCATTTTCTTTATGTGGGTCATTCAAATTTTCAGTCGGCCAAAAATCGGAGGTCGACGGGACCACAAAGAAGTTGAAACGTTCTTCGAGATTAAATGTTTTGCTCAGTTGGCTGAACTGAAAAAAAAAACCCACCAATTTCTCACTTGTAAGGAGAGAAATTTGGACAAGGAAACACGTGTACCTATCTTTTGGTGTTTCGATCTTGCCCTGTCTGGAGGTCCATTGTTGTTGCTTTTAATTTTCATGTTCAAGATGAGTCCATGACAACTTGTGATGTAGAGCTTTGTAATTTGAATACTTCAAGGTTTTTTTTTTCTTTTTAAGGCTGATGTTTAATTAGAATTCCTTACCTGCATCAATGTGCGCCAGCACTCCAATGTTGCGGATATGTTTGATATCAAATTTGGATTTAGTAGCTGCATATCGGAAAGCAAGGTAGATTGTAGGTGTTTTATACATGGACCAAGAGACATTGTAAGCTTTGAAAATTTGCCTAAATAACATGGTCTAACGTGGTAAAATTGTACTTTTCCTCCCACAGGAGAGACTCATAGCACTATGAAACACCGCAAGAAATAATTTTCCTCTGCAGCAATGTTGATGACAGCATTTTATATGCACTTAAAGCTGTTAACGGTAAAATTGAAAACTACTAGAGAAGAATTAGATTAAAAGGAACTACTTATAAATACGGAAAATAAAATAAAATCGACTTGTGAAAATTGGAAGTACATGCACACATAAACATAACCTCAATCCGTACCTCACTCTGATATCAGTTTGCCTCTATCAATAGCGAAAAAGTTCCCATTCACAATATTTCAGAGGGATTTTAGCGATGACAAATTTTTGTCCTTGAATAAAAAGGGTAAAAAAATTGCGAGGTTAGAAATTTTATCGTAGGTTAAGCTCTTATCAGAAGTGTTTTATTTGATAAAATAGCAAGTTTACTAATTGTCTTGCGTGGTGTTCAGTTTGATCAAGTTATACCTGTTAATTAGCAAAAAATGAGTCTCTCCTGTCTCATGCGAAGAACCGCTATCAACCTGTTTGGTAAGAAAATTTCATTTCAATTAATTAAAATCACACCTGCCGCTTCGGTAAAAGTTTTTTGCTCGATTAAAAAATGAAATTCCTTTTCCAGCCCGGAAAGTTGACGCCGCCTGTCATTATTTATTGCACTCATAAGAATGCCATTGCGAATTTTGCTTGGTCACTGGGTTACGTCGATTGATAACCCTCTTTGATGCCCTATATCTCGTATGAGCTAACAACTGCTTTGCTCCTGGCTAAACCATTTCATATTATTAGGGGAAAGTGTTTTCGGAATTGTCGACAGGAATTTTCTTTACATCAGGGTCTGCCAGATGCACATCACATTGCTTTATCATGCTTGCCTGCATGATTGAGGCTCTGAACGCGAAGCATTCCCTTGATTGCTTACTGCCCTATATCATGCAGTGATTAATGGAATTTTCTTGAGTTTAGCCAGAAATTTCTAAAATTTGTCCTGGTTTTGAGGAATCGACAATCCATACTTCAGTCGCGCTGAAAGTGTTGTCAAAGTCTGTGATGTTTCACCCCATTCGCCAATATCTCATCATTTTTTCTTTTTTCATGAAGGATTTTTGGATGTAGTAAACATTTTAAGTGTCTTTGATATTGGGTAAATAAAGTCCTATTACACCAGGCAGGTGTTATGCTTTGCTGAGGGAACCAAACTTGATTCAAGCTTTCAAAGTTGCATGTGCAGTATGTTAGAATGTCAATGTTTCAAGTGAAGTCTGACCTTGACATGATTTCTTGTCTATTTCAACCATGTTATTTACCTTGATTTTGATGTTACAGATAATCATGGGCACTCACTCCTTCGAGCAACCATTTCGCCTGCTTTAGCCAACAATAGTTTTCTTCAACAGAAGAATGGCTCTGTAAGTGCACAATCATAATCCATCTGTAAATCCATGTATTCAATCAATTTTTCCTGTAAGTTTAGGACTTTCAGGTTTTGACAACTTTCCGCAACGGTGTCAGTTTTTGCAATTTTTTTTTGCATTCAAAATGAAGAGCTCTAAAGTGTTTGAACTTTTGTTACAAATGTAAAAATTTGGTTGAAAGAAAAAAAAAATCTTGCAGAAAAAATGATGTTCTGGTCCAAATTTTGCTCCGGCAATGTTTGGTTAACTGCTTTTACCGTCCCAAGAAATATCTTCCTCGGATGACGGCTCTGTAAAACTTTTTTAACTTAACCACCTTACCAATGCAAAAAAATTAGCAACAATCTTGAACTCGCGGCAAACAATTCCTCAATATCTTTGGAAATAGACAATTTTTGGCAGAAAGGAGGATTTAGAACCAAGCACATCCTACTGAGGCAAATTAAAGGATGATTAATATTCTGATGAGAACAATTGCATTTCTGTGGTGCAACTTTAATTTTCAGAACTTATATTTTGAGTATTAATGAATCTTTTTGGAAAATTGATGTGTTGAAAAATATAAACACTGCCAAGGAAAGAACCTTCAAGTCTCCTCAAAAGTCACAAAAAGAAAATAAGAAGGAGAAATTTTGACAAAGCGATTTTACCCATAGAAAAAGAAGCTCTCCTCATAATTTTCCCTGAAAATTTTTCCAGAGTCTGCCAGTTTCTAAAACTGCTGTAACCCGTTTTTCAACGAGCAGTGTTCGTTTGTCAGCGCATGGTGATCACTCCAAACTGTGGACTGTTGAACGAATGGTCTCAGCTCTTCTTCTTCCTGTAGTTCCTGCGGCGTTCATTGCACCCAATTTCGGCACTGAAAGCATGCTCGCCATTTTGATGGTTATGCACACACATTGGTGAGTGATTCAATGTTTTTAATGTCAGATAAAATGTCAGACCTAACTTTTCTCTCCGCAAGTCCCTCTTCAAATAAGAAAATGAATTCTTGTTGCAGGCAAGTAGTCAAATCAGGTATTTTACTAAATGCCTAGGTAGATAGTCAAATTTTAATAGTTTACAAAGTCTTGTATGTTTTTGTCAAGGAACTTCAGAGTTTTCAATGTTTTGAATGTAAAAATTCCTAAAATCTTGAATGTTACTTTTCAAATGCTCCTCATATATTTTAACTGTTAATGTTTTAAAAATTCTTTATTTAATGACATGCTGAATAATCCCCAGATAAAAGCTCATCAAAGAACTAGATTCAATGTACCCATTTCAAATTGTACAATGTCAATCTTCAGAGAAATTTCTCTTCTAGATGAGCAAATAATTATTGTATTTAAAATTAGCGAAAGGATCAGAATTTCAAAGTAAGCAAGAACATTTGATTATTCGCCCAGGCATTCCACAAAGTCCTTGATTCGACTACTTGCCTTTGACTTATCCTTGAGTTCTTTAATAGAGAGTTGAAATTGTGGCAAAGGATTATTTGAGATTTCTTATTTCTGAAAATTTTTGGAGAAAGCCAACTGATGTAATTTGACTCAATTTTACTTCTAGTATCGAGAATGAGGAAAAATATTAAAAAATGATGGTGTGGTTTAATGAGTGAGTTTAATTGAGTCCCTTCTAAAGGTCAAATTTGTGATAGTAAGATAAAATAGTTGAAAACCAAGAAAAAGGAACGTAGAGAATGAAACATCAGGATTGTACGGTCTTAGAAAATTCAGCAACAAAAGAAACTCCTTAAAAGAAACCAGTAAATTAAGAATGAAATAATCACGATCTTTAAAAAAGAAAACAAAAAATAATTGGGAAAAAATTACAGGATTTTTCAAAACAAAAGAATATTTGTACTTTCATAACTAGTGTATGCTCTGGATACCATTTCTCCCTGGTATAACTGTCGAGAGTAATTAGATTTCAGGGTTCCAAAATGTGTGCTCTGTTTCTGTCTTTTCAAAAAAAAATTACTCTAAATTTTTACATCAACCTCTCACAGAATAATCTTGAAACAGGGAGGAAGCTTCAGATTAAATGTCCTGTGTTAGCAATGACAGGACATCCTTCGAAAAAGTAAGGGACAACAAGAAATTTGTGATGTTGCAAATCAAGGTACAAATTTCCCTAGCTCCAGCGTCACCTGTTGTTTAAAGTTGTTAAGGTTTTGTGTTATTTTAAAATACCTTCCTTATTTTATTTATTTGAAACATTTTCAAGACTTAATTTTTATACATGATTTTTTCCTCCAGGGGCATAGAAGCAATTGTTATTGACTACGTAAGGGCAAGCATCTTCGGACCTGTCATCCCGAAAATCGGAGTGGGTCTCGTGTATGTGTTCTCTGTGGCCGTTTTAGCTGGTCTGCTCAATGTAATATGCAACGACATCGGAATTGTAGGATCACTAAAACTGCTCTGGAGTGTATGAACAACGTAACTGGAGGCACTTGTACATTAATTTGTTGTTGATTCAGTATTCTTATTTCAATCCTGTACCATTGATTGGCAGGAATTTGAAACTAAAGGAGGCATAGTTTCAAGTTTATTTTCGTAGGAAGCATTACCGTGCTTTCGATAAGTCTAAAATTCCGCTGAGTGAAAGTAAATATAGTCTACAAGACTATAATTTATCAAGAACTCTGCACTTTTTAGTCAAATTTAGGTTTTTTTGGTTTTTATTGGGCGTGTAAAATGTTCAAGTAACATTAATAGTTCCTCAAAATTTTGTTTAAGTGTTACCTAAATTTTTTCAAAATTTCATCTCACTCAGAATTTACTTTTAAACCTGTCCTCTCTCAAATGAGAAGTAATTCAATTGTATGAGCATCAGATCCCTATGTTTGAAATGTACCTGAACTGTCTTTTCCTTTGCCTCTCAGATGATAATTATCAGAGAACGAAGATTTGAAAGACGTAACTTATGATCAACTTAATAAATTGAAAGTCCTCAATGAGACACAATTTTTTCGCTTTTGTTTAAACTCCGTCTTGAATGTTAATTTTTGTCACAAGAGATTGAAGTTTTAGTAAAAAAATGTAAGAAATATGTACAGAATCATTACTACAGAGATAAGATGATTGTCTCGTTTTTTGACTATTATTAGGTAAACAACCATAAGTCTATCATAAGTTCTGTCGTTGAAAACGAGTAATGTCAATCTTAGTCAGAATTTTACCATCTGTCCCATGTGATTAACTGATTAATGTAAGGTCTCAACGACATTGTAGTTTAACTCGTGTTGTTTTAGAGTTTAGTGAAGCTTTGCATCAAAGCTCAGCTTGAAAATTAAACAATCTTTATCTGCCTTTGAATCTATACGTTTTTACTTTTTTCCTCGCACCGTTTTGAGGTTAAGGTTTCTTTGTTCTTTTCTCCCTCACGATTTGTGACCGTTATTTAGAAAAAACTTGAAATTTAGTCATTGGTAATTTTCCTCTTCTTCTTTTCTGACTAGGGCATAGAGAATCACTTGGACTACGTTCAGGAATTAGGAACTACAATTTTTGGCTCATTTCGAAAAACACTTATGTGCATAAGGAAACTAACGGTATACATACATTGTTTCTAACCTACGCCAGGAATTGTAGTTCCAAATTGCAAAATGTGGTCCAGCTGTCAATATTACCGACTTTTAGAAACTAACTTCTATCTCTCTATCTGTGAATAGATTGAGAGATGCCAGCTTCCGTAGGATCTCTACCATGACAGATTTTTGTGGCGGGTAGGCACTGTAGAGCGCGCCATAAAAGCGACTTACACATATATACTTCTGTCTCTTATACTGAAATAATTAGTAGAGGTTAAAATATGTTGGAATGCAATTTCTGAAGGAAAAAACGATTGGAAATTGAGTTTTTAATGTTCATCTTAATCATTCAAAAAATGATATAAAAAATAAATGCTTCTTAACATCAACAATTATTTAACAATTGAAATTTCTTAAAACTATCAGCCTTAAATTAGTATTGCTTCAAAAATTCACCAGTAGCCAGTCAATTTTTGCTCAGAAATTTTGATTCTAAAGACTATCGCAGTGAGTTAGCACAATGATCCAGGAAAATTTCAATTCTTTCCGGTAAATTCTAGGGGTCAATAAAATTCTCAATTTTGCAATCAAATTGGCAGAAAGCGGGAACAGAAATTTCTGCCTGCTAATAGAGATTTTCCCGTTTTTTTAGTTTGTTGTTCACTTCAGTAAATAAAAACATAAGCCCTTTTTGGGTGCAGCTGTCCGCAAATCTCATAAATATGACCGAAATCTCAGCAGGATTAGTCAGTTGGAGAGCTTGCTTACAACTTAACAGATGACTCAAGCTAGTAAGACCTACGTAAGGCCCAGTCCAGCACATTATTTTTGATTCTTTACACAACATTGTTGCATTGGACTAATTTTAGGTGTTTAAAGTTATGTGTTGCATTAAATGAGTTATGCAAAGGTTTAAGCAATACTGCCGTGCTAAGGAAGAATGCTGTACGAACATTCGAGAGTGGCCAAACTTTCTCCGATAAAATGTTTATTTTAGAGAAAAATTATCACTATTTTTCATTGAAATTTGCTGACTTTCAGATCAAATGGCAAGCAAAATTACCTGAGATATCGGAAGAAAAATATTCACATACTTTTTTGAAAATTAGTGATTTGTCGAAGGAAATTCAGCAACGCCTGAGGGCTCATACGGCATTCTTCCTTAGCACGGCAGAACACTTAACCGCAAGGACTGGACTTGAGGTCATTGAAAAGTTTTTGGTCTGAAAGAACAATTTTTTGTTTGTTTGTGGGCTTTAGTCATTCTTTACTGCATAAATATCTGAAGTTTTCTAAAACTTTAGCAAGCTTCCGAAGCTAGTCATCTTACAAAGGGCAGAAATATTTAAATAGTGTATGGATTTCTTTGAGATTTTCAGTAGGGAATATTATTCACCCCGATTGAATTTTACATGGGCACCTGCAAATTACTGGATTCTCTAAATGTGTAAACTTCTGACTGATATCCTGTTATGGCACTAGATTCGCTCGGAAACAGAGGAAAAAGGTCTTTTGTCATAATTCTTCCCTGCAAGATTTTATGAGTTGTACTCTCTCATTTTAGATAAGACATGGACTACATTTTGCAATTGTATCGGTCGTACTAAAAAAAAAATCCATTCTACATCTCAGAGGTCAGAAAAATAAATACATTAATGCATTTATTTTTCTCCATCTATATGAGAAGATTACAATTAAAAATCGGACTGTGGTTCTTGTAGAAATTTTCCTTCCATTTGAGTGGAAAGCAGAAATTGGCATTTGAGTCCTTTTGAGAACGATCAACATTATTTCAACCTGTTTCCCTATTTTAAACTCAAAATTTTAGTATTTCAAGCTGTAATATGCCCAAAAACTTCCATTCACACTTTCTCTACATAAAATACAACGATATTTCACCTACTTACTGATGATTGATAACAAGTGCTAAGACTTAGTTAAATCTAAAAACAGCAACATCCTTGACCTGAAAGAACAAATATTTATCCCCTCATTCTAGAAACTTTGAGGTAATTGAGTAAGAGATTCGAATTGGATCAAATCAAGATAAGCGATTACTTACATAGCGATTTGACGCTTTCGTCTTGTGACTGGACATTTCAGATGTTTCTTGGATGTTCTCAGATGTTGTCCATTTTTCTGTTCGTTACGTTAAAAGGTGCATCTATGTCTAAACACAACAGGACCATCAAAAACTCAAGTTTCGATTATGTGCCCCTAACGTCTTTTTGAGAATGACCGATTCAATTGGAAACTACTATTTTTGGTTCATCCGTCAAAACACCTATCTCCGTGGGGAAACAAATGGCACATGCCTTGTTTGTGAACTGGGCTAGAAGTAGTAGTTTGCAATTGCAAAATGTAGTCCAAATGAACTCAGAATTTACTTACATGTTGACTGAGAAAGTTCCAGGTTAGAGAGGAAAACTGGGAATAAGTTGAGTTTCTAGTTTTAAAAAACCATTGTGTGTTTGTTCTGCGCATGAACATCAGGCGTAGGAGCGGCAGGATAAACCTGGATTGGTAAATCCCACACCATGGTTTCAATGTCAAGAGATTTTGGACCCTGCCAGGTTCCATCTTTCAACAACATATCGTCTCTATCCTTTGAGCAAATTACGAATTCGAAATGTAGCCTCCAATTTACCGCCACTGAAAAGAAAAAACGATGCACATACCTATTAAAATTAAATAGAAAAGATCAAAATTATATTGATGAGAAATTAAACAACTGAAGTTAAAGAGAAAATAATCAAAACAGAAAAAAGTTGAAAGCAAAACTTGAAAGATGCCATGAAGTTTTTGTTAATTACTGCGATTCAGTTTAAACTTTACCTAGTTGTGTAGAAAACATGGGTGTGACATGCCGAGGAATCGGTAAATTGAGAGTGCAATACTTCATGTACAAACAAACTTGATGGCAATTGCTAAAACCTGATATTGCTTTGTCTTGCCGGGCAAATGATTTGTACTCATCCGATAGTGTCTCTTCACATTGCAGCGTAACAGTGAACTGGAAAAAAGAAACAATTTGATGCCATTATAACTTCTGAGCTCTATGGTAGCTGGCTTTTCTTAGCTAACTTTTTGGTAGCATTAGCCAGAAAAAACTGAGTGACTCTCCAAAAATAGTTGAGTTAATAATGGTTTTGAACATACTTAATAATGCATTTTTTTCGGCTAGAACTTTAAAGGCCGCAAGGAATATAAATTTGGATGTGAAAAATTGATTTGAGGTTTTCCTTTCAGTAGAGCCTCAATTTTCCTTTGTTCCAAGTCCATTTTCAAAGATGCCTGACCATTTTGTAAAAACAAAAGACTATTTTCCAAAGTTGAGATTAAAAATTGGTTCAAGTTGAAGAGTGAAAATTCACATCAAATACTGGAGTTTAGATGTCTAAACTCAGGAACCATGTGCATCTTGGTATACGACAATGCAGACTTCAAGAAATGTTTTTCTTTGCAATTTGAAAACATATCAGCGAAATGACTTGAGAATTTTCATGCGTTTTCTTCTTCGTTGGAGGAATATTCTGTGAAGTTTACTCAATAATTTGGTTTCTTTCTCGGCTAAAAAATAAAATAAGACCAGAAAATTTGAAACTTCGCAAGTTGTGATACCTTCAAATTTAGCCATCAATATGACAGAGTTGAATCGAAGTTGATGGAGGTCTGGCTCTTAGCTTTGAGTAAGCTCTTAGTAAGTAACTCTTGATTCAGGTAATTAAAGGAGTAAATTGTTGGTATGTGCGAAAACAAAGAGAACCTGTGAGATTGTAGCTACTGAGAAAATTTATTTTTGAGACTTTAGCACAAAATTTTCAAACAAAGTAAACAAAGCGAAAGGTTCTTCCGGGGATTCAATTTTTTCTTTCAGGAAAAAACTCATCTGTGTATCTAACCTGCATTTAAAAATGGAAAAATAAAAAATTGACAAACTATTACCTGGACACATGGCACGACTGAATTCGAGAAATCAAAGCTTCCAATGATGTCTTCACCTAGTTTGTAGCATTGCTTGTAGAGGCAGAACCGAGCAACTTGACCTCGAGGATTCGTTACATTGTAACAGTTGGGAGTCCTCCTGGCAGTAATATTCTGAAAAAATCCCAGGAGAACAAATTTATAATCGCAGGAATGAAGCTAAGCAAAATTCAAACTGATTGGAGGATTCTATGAATTTTTTCGGCTAAAATAAGAATAAAAACTGAGGAAAAATAGGGAATATTTAACCTTGCTTTTTTAAATGGATGGACTACAAAAGTGCGTCTACTGCGTATGTTTTATAAAAAAAATGACATGTAAGAACAAATAAAGTGAAAAAGAACAAAGAGATACATATAATTATTTCCACCTTTATAAATTTATATTCATAAAAATTGGTAAATTCTTTCATTTAACATCATAAAATCAAAGAAAGCATTGGTATAAAAGCAATAGTTACAGGATAGTTGAGTATATTGAGCAACGATTTATCAATTATACAGATCCATCTTCAATAAATCGTGCAAGTCTGATCCTTAGACAATTTTTCACTCCTTTTCCGGTTTTGGTTTTTAAATGTTTCGTTCTTCGAGCAATATGTTAGGCTTAGGATAGTTTACGAAACAGACACAGTCATTTTTAATTTTAAAATGGCTCAAGTGAATTGCTCATTGTGAAACTGTGTGAGTCGACATTTCTTTTTATAAAAAGCTGTAATAATTTTTGACGTAGAGGACAAGAGTTGCTTTTTACTTCAAGTTTGTGAATTATTCAAAATTGAGAAGCATCAATTGCAAAATAGGCATAGTGCCGATAAGAATTACTTACTTGCACCATTTGTAAAGCAGGGCCTAACTCTTGCTCTGTTTCCTTTTTCTCTAGGAATGGGTTACTGGGTGATAAATCGATGCTGTCTTCACATCCGCTGATATCTAAATACCCTGTGCAAATAAAGGAAAAATTAAGTTTGGAAAATAAAGGATTTAAAACTCAGGATGAACACAGAAAATGATCATTGAAAGTAAATACAAGAATCAAGATGGCGGATCTTCTGTTGCACTGTAAGCAAAAGTGCATTCACTTATTTGGCAAGGACTCTATAACAAATTAAGATGGTGAGAATCCATCATCAAAGGCATTCAAAAGACTACATGGAGCATTGTAAAATCATCTCAGAAAATATTCAGTCCGCTTATAAAGCCAGTCAGATGATGCATACTTTCTTTCCAAAAAAGTTTACATCTGTACCGATTACATACTCGTCAAAATTTATGATGTACAGTAATTATCTCCTGTGTCAATTTTCAATGCAAGTTGTTTTGATAGAAAAAATAAAAAAAAATTCATCAAGAACTAATTGTTGCTGAAACTAGCCAGAAACAAGGAAATTTTCTGATCATCGCAGTTTCATTAAAGAAGATTTATTTTTGAGGCAGAAGGGACAAACCTTGAATTACAAGTACCCTGAATGGTATCCTTAGTGATTTAATTGGTTGGTTTACCCTTTGGGTTCCAATGGTAATTTTATACGAGTATCTGGTTAATTGACCGTTATGAGACGGAGGAGATTCACTCGGCAAAACTTCTGAATATAAATCTGAAAAACAAAAGTTGAACCCATAGATTAGGCATGCGATGTCAACATTTGTGATCTCTCACAGGAAAAGGGAACTCTGTGAATGGACACGCATTCAGGAGAGCAATTTTTATGATGTGTGAAAGATTGGAATTTGAGCTTTCATCGGAGGACACTCCCTGATCTCCAAAAGAATGAGCTGCCAGTGATCCATTCAATTTGTACGCTAAAACTGCCTTGCTGAGGAGCAACATTGAACGTTTGGAAGTTGCTAGATTGCCTCAAATAAAACAAAAATCATCCGAATGACTTGCAAATTTTCTCCCTTAAATTTTGCAAAGCATTTTAGTGACAATTTTATCCTTCGAACCTACTAACAATTTTAGAAGAAAAGAAAATTTCTTCCAGATAAATTCATAATTTTTAGAGGAAATTAATACGTCATTCAAGAAAATTGAGCAACATCTGAGTTTTTATGCATTGTTTCTCCGTACCACAGCAGAATAAAAGATTTCTTGCTTTTTTAGAGCCTGAAACACACCTGAAAAAAACTGAAATAGCTTCTCCTCAAAACTGAGATATTATAAATTTAAACTTTCAGCGGCTTCAACGATTTTAGATTTAATGTGTCTTGGCGTTTTTTGTGCCAACATGTTTGAGAAATGTTCCTTAAGATGATGTTACCATTGACTCAGTTTATAGTTTTCAACACAAAGGTACCTTTTTTCAAGGACAGTCATCCATAAGTAAATTCAGTGATGCACTGACATTGCTAAAAGAGAATCCAACCAACCAAGAGACCTCGAACAAGGAATTTGGGTTTTTTTTTGTGTGGAAAAATCATACAATTTTTTCTTATAATTGTGATAAAATTTTAATTCACCAATAACTTAGTAGTTGTGAGACCACATTAACTGGGCAGAGGGAGTAACAATTGAGTATATGCACTCCGTTTGTTGAAATCCGTAAAATTGTTCAATTTTCATTGGAAATATAAAAAAAAAAGGAATGAAAAAAATCAGCCCAGAAGGTGCACTAATGGCAATTTTTAGAAAATACTTACCAACTATAATTTTGGTAAACATTTTCAGATAATTGTGACTCAATAATAATTTTTATGATATCTTTTCGTTCAAACTCTCAAAGATTATTTTTTATGATTTAAAGTGCACTTCAATTTTGCATGCATTGAAAAAAAAAAGATAAATTCCTTGGTTTACATTGCAGACTTAGAGAGCTCAGATTAGTGTGGCAAAATAATGAAAAGGAACTTACAAGATTTACTTTCTCCGGGTGAAAGACTCAGATCACAAAATAGGATTCTAGGAGTAGTTGAAAAAACTACTTGACCTTTGTCTCCCTGACATGGCATGAAAGAAGTATCTGAAAAAAGTAAGCGTGTAAAAATGACTATTTGCGATCAATTTCAGTTATCCTGCTTCCTACAAGAATTGTCTTTTATGGCCGTGTAGCTACACTGCTACAGTGGTCACTCCCACAAGCCCTGAACATTTTACAATGTTGTCATAATTCTTCATGGTATTTTCAGATGCAAATTGCAAATCAGTGTATCGCAATTTTGCAATGTTGGAGATTACCTGTACATTTTAATTTTTTTATTTTATCTAACATTATTGTACTTAATTATGTCTATTTAATTCTTCCTTTCAAGTATACTTGTTAGAGATTTCACAAATACATGCCTAGTGATCCTCTCTTTTTACAATAAGGTAGGAATGAAAATTTCAAAACGTTAAAATTTAGATACTTAGGTATGTTTTTGATTTTTCAACATTGATATGTTTTTGAAAACTGGTGTTCTTGTGACATCCTTTTGTGACAGTGGTCTACACTTAAGAGCATGTAAAAAATCGCTAGGTCTCCACTTCAGCAAAGCTGTAATGTTACGCCTACACTGCCGTGCTAAGGAAAAACGCCATATAAAGCTTCAGGCATTGCCATATTTTCTGTGACAAAACACAAATTTCCTGGTAAACTTATGAATAGTTCCATTTCAATTTTTCAGATAATTATGCTTGCAATTTCACCTGAAGTTCCTGAAAATTTCAGAGAAAAATATTGATTAGGTTTCGCAAAAATAAATATTTTATCGAAGGAAATTTGGCAACTCTCGAATGTTCATATGGCGTTCTTCCTTGGCACGGCAGTACAGCAACCTTGGCCTTCCAAGAGAGTCATACCTGGCTAAGTTGGCGGTTCAGACTGTGTCTGCCAATACCTGTACGGAGTAGTCGGAACAACATTTGATCTTCTTTGCATTTTTGCCACGAGAAAATTGTGCTGCAATTGCTTTTGTAAGTACAGAAAGAATGTGAGTGCTTACCTGAGTTAATCACGGATGTGGCACCAGGTGACGTTTCTTTTATCCTAGGGACGGAAATTTTATCATTTGTTGAGCACAAGCAGTGAATTTGAGCGCTGGCCCAGGCAAGGACCTCTAGAACTTCCCTGTAAAACGATAAATGAATGAATAAACGACAATTAGAAGCATTAAAGAGAGAGAAGGAGATTTTGAAAATGTCATCATTAGGTAATAGGCGAAACCAAGATTTTTGGAAACATTTTCAAGGCATATTATGCTGCCAAAATATTAGTAGTTTCTTCGTGTCACTCTTCTGATAACTGTAACTCTCATGTTCAGAATCCATTTTCTCAGCCTTCCAATTTTAATACAACACTCCTGGAGACTTGTTGATTACATCGTCACCTTCCTGCCAAAATATCACAAGTACCATGCAACATTTGGGTGATTTCACGATAACAGGAATAGTTAAAATGTGAAATACCTTAAAAATAAAAGTGCACCAAATTTAACAGGATTTCATTACCTCATTTTAAAGGTATTGAACCTCCTTTTCCCAGCTTTGGCACGCTCTATTTTGATTCAGTGCAAAGTTAAAGTGATTGATAAACAAGCCATTGAATCAGGTATCAGCGCTTCCCGCGGGACTGCTGGAGGTCCACGCAAACATGGCGGCCCTGCCATATTGTGTCGGTTACGTAACAGACGCAGCGTAACCGACACTTGAAAATGTGAGATAAAAGATGATACAAAAGATGAAACTTGGCAATTCTTGAGTTATGAGGTGGAATTGATGCTGCCTTAAAAGTTTTCTAAACTTTGGAGACTTCCTTTTAGTTTAATAATATTAAATTGAGGTTTTTGCGTAGTGAGGAATTAGTGCTACACACCTAAAAATCACTGGTTTTCATAATAATTAAAGTTTTCATTGTAAAAAAAACTGACTTATCAGTAATGGTTTTGTCGAGAAGACTTCAGCGAACAATTTGATGGCAATTTTGAAACTCCTGACTCCGTCTGGCGAGATAAACACTGCACTCAATACAACTGCAAAAATTTGTTGCCAAATGTGGCGACACCTCTTTCTAATGACTTTTCTCGCTCAATAATAAACATTTCAGTTCAAACTGGCAATTTTCTTGAACATTAGAGTCTCTTTTCAGCAAATATTGCCAAAGAGTTCATGATCAGTACTGATTTGTTACCGCAAATTGCTCTTTTGCTTCAAAATCGGGGTTGGCGGCGCGTAACCGACCGGACATTTTCGGCCTTTAAAGTCTCATATTATGAAATATGATAAAAATTTATCATATTTTTTAGCGTGGATAGGTTTAGGGACATCATTCCTATTGATTTATTCATTTGGTTTTCAATCGTTTTGCCCTATATCGTTCATAACCCACGGCGACACGACTATTCCTCTTATCGTGAAATCACCCATTTACAAATTTCCACCGCCATTTGACTTTTCTACAGAGAAATTGTTCAACGAAGCGGTCCGAAAATTTTGCTGAATTTTTTTTGTGGTGCTGGTAAAATTTAATCAAATTTTCAAACAGATTCAACCAACAATTTCTCTGTAAAAAAATAGAATAACGGCGGAACTTTTGAAGCTTCACATGGCGCTTGTGACACTTTGGCCGAGAGGTGACGACATAGTTAAGAAGTCCTAGCCCCTCAGAATTGCTGCACAGTTATCCTTGGACACATGAAAAGCCAATTTTAATTTTTGAGAAAAGGAACCGCATGTGTAAGAAGTGGGGAGGGGATAGTACAGGGATGTGGAGACTTCTTTAGGGGCCTCATTTCCTTCAATTTGCCAGCTCATTTTAAAAACTATTTGCTCTTCCAGAATACCTGAAACTTTTGTTGTTTCCTAATTACTTAAAATCGTCCAAGATTCTGTATTAAATTCATGATTTTTCTTTCAATGTGAATCAGCGTTTCCTTTTCAAAGGCCCCTTGCCGCACCGCACCCAGTCCCATTTTCTCACGTACAACCTTGTAGGTCCTGTCAGTCATGAGCTCAATAGTTTTGAACTCCTGGGCAGGATTCTGAAAGTTCTGAATGATAACAAACACTTACGAATTACAGTGGGACTTCTTGTCTGTAGAAACTGGAGGGTTGGTAAAAGTAACGCTGCAGCCTACAGTTTCACCAGGCATGAAGATTGGGCCCCCGATGAGTTTCGCAGAGACCTCGATCATAGTGAAGGAATAGAGCTATCAAAGGTCAAGAGGAAAATTGAGACGATTGCTTGACACAGAGGGAATTAAAAGCGAAGAAACCAAGCAAGCAATGACTGGAGTTCACTATCACTAGACATCACCACGGGTCAAACTCAGCCTTAAAAAAAACTAGGAGGACTTAAATATCATAATATATGTCCTTAGAGACAGGTTTTACCGAAAAACCATTAAAAAATGATAAAATCACTACAAACTCATCAATGAATATAATTTTATATGACTCAAGTGTACAAGAGGATCTAATGTTTACATTTTTACTGTCAATTAAAACCAAAACACCCCCCTCCTGCCTGTACGAAACTCCACGTCATGAAGAAGACCACTTTACACCTGCAATACGGCTCGCTCATATCACGGCCTTGATAATCAAAACTTGAAGCATCTCGAGCACTAATTAAAAGTTCTTTCGGTATAAAATCAATTTTTAAAAAATCTCTCGATTAGCGTCATCACTCAAGCAACTATTTATGGCAGATAGACTTCTATCCACACGCCTTGTTATCTCTTATCACTCAATTTTCATAAACAAGTTGTCTGTGTAAACGTACCTGCGAAGTGTAATCGGCATTTCGTGAGGTTTTCCCGGATCCCGGATTGTACGTGGTTTTAAATTGAAGTCAACCTTACCTTTGAAAATGTCCTTATAATGTGTAATTTTTTCAAGTGCAGTTTGTTCAGTTGTACTTAGTGTGTTTCGTAGGCGAGGAATAACTAAATAATAAAAATGGAAAGCCGGACTTTATGGCAGATTGTGTGCGTTGTTCTAGTTGCTGTCCTTTCTGAATTTGCTTTTGGTGTCGAACTAACCTTTGAATTGCTTGACAACAAGCGAGATTGTTTCTACGAAGAAATTCAGAAAAATACCACTTGTGTTCTCGAATTTCAGGTAATTGTAGTGATATTCCTGATAAGGAATATCATCTTCAACCTAACCTCAATCCAATCACCCATAGCTATCTGCTATCAGCGCAGCTTGTCCTGCCTGTTTCACACACTCTTGACGACTGATAATACATATATTATTTACAGAATGATTCTAGAGGTTTGAGAGAGTATCAAAATCAGACTCCACCTGCATTATACTGAAATCCCACGGATTGTTGTCCTGGCTAACCGGTACCTTCTTTTGCGGCGTATTGCAACTCTTGGGAGGTGATACCTTTCACATCAAAACAGGATCACATAGGACTCTTGATAGGGCTTCTTTTCTATCCGAACTGCAGAGGATCACAACCGAATGCATCTCTTTTTTATTCAGTTCCACTGGCGCCCTCCACTGCGTACCTTGTGTTCCAGTGGAATGCTTGGACCGCTCTTCTGAGGTTGGTTGAGGCTGCGGTTAGCAGGCCCGCCAAATCCCACCTCGGACCATGGTACCAGTTTTAAGGTCCGCGTCCTAAACTGGGAGGGGGGGGGTCTGAGGGGCATCCCCCGAGAAATTTTAGAATTTATACAGCTAATCGGACGCATTTTGCAGCTTCCATAAATAATTTTTCCATCAATTTCTGCGGGATAATTATGTTTTTTTTTTTTTATGCTTTCAGCACAAAATACTTGCGAATTGTTGGATTCAAAACATCTGAAAAATTTTAATTTTTTTTTGGGGAGGGGGGGCATATGACACTATTTTCAGTTCTATGAGGGCCAGGCCCAAACAAAATAATATGAACTATGCAAAACGATAATGCTGGTATCAGAACTTGGTCGTTTTGAAAACGCCTTCAAATGCGGCGTGCTACCTCATGCATTCCGGAGAGTTCAAATAGTTGTTTCATTGCGCCTTAGAAATGTGACAAATGATTACAATTGAAATAGTCTTCATGCACGCTGGCCTTTTCGATTTCCGTCCATATTTTTGCAGTCATGAATGCGCTCAAGTGCGCTTCAGCTATAATTGTATTTAGCAAATGGGTGGTTTTTATAGGAGGATTATAAATAAACAAGTGGTTAGAAATGGAAACAAAATAATATGAACTATGCAAAACGATTATTCCGATAACGGAACTTGGCTGATTTGAAAACGCCGTCAAATGCGGCGAGATACCTTACGTATTCCGGAGAGTTCAAATAGTTGTATCATTGCGCCGTAAGAATGTGACGGAAGATTTAAATGGAAATAGCCTCCATGCACGCTGGGTGTGTCGATTTCCTTTGACATTTTTGCAGTGGTGAATGTATAGCTGATGTGCGCTCCAGCTAGAATTTCATTTAGCAAATGGGTGGTTTTTATAGGAGGATTAAAAATAAACAAGTGGTTAGAAATGGAAACAAAATAATATGAACTATGCAAAACGATAATGCTGGTATCGGAATTTGGCTGTTTTGAAAACGCCTTCATATGCGGCGTGATATCTCACGCATTCCGGAGAGTTCAAATAGTTGTATCATTTCGCCGTAAGAATGTGATGGAAGATTTAAATGGAAATAGCCTCCATGCACGCTGGGCGTGTCGATTTTCTTTGGCATTTTCGCAGTGTTCGTTTTCGTTTTTGGATTGAAGAAAATGGAAAAACGAGAATACCCCGTCGAAACTTTCTTTGATTTTTATTTTTAAATCATTTCAGAAAATTTCCGGAAAACCTTCAGAAAACTACAGGAAGCTTCGTAAAACACATCGATTAAAAATAAAACACCAGTAGATGTGTGCAACGTTACAACCGGAGATAAATACGCGTTTATTCGCGCGCAGCCGTCGGTATTTCGGTTCATCCACGGTAGGCGCAATGATACGACTATTCGACCACGGATGTAGGCATGTTGCTGCCAGCCGGATTGAAGGCGCGTCAAACTGCGAAAATCACGCAGCCGCGTTCCCTTCTCTGGCCGGTGCAACGATGAAATCGCCGCAAACCTAAGAATACGAGTCATTATTTTCACTTTTTGCCCTGTTTTACCACAGTTATATTGAAATATGAATTTCAACTATGACGATTCAAAAAATTTAATTGTATTTGATTCGTTTTTGGATTGAAGAAAATGGAAAAACGAGAGTACCGCGTCGAAACTTTCTATGATTTTCATTTTTAAATCATTTCAGAAAGTTTCCGGAAAACCTTCAGAAAAGTACAGGAAGCTTTGTAAAACACATCGATTAAAAATAAAACACCAGTAGATGTGTGCAACGTTACAACCGGAGATAAATACGCGTTTATTCGCGCGCAGCCGTCGGTATTTCGGTTCATCCACGGCAGGCGCAATGATACGACTATTCGACCACGGATGTAGGCATGTTGCAGCCAGCCGGATTGAAGGCGCGTCAAACTGCGAAGATCACGCAGCCGCGTTNCGTCGATAGCCGCAAAAATCGTGAAAATCGGCCCGGTAGAACGCTGGAACTAAGCGTCACCAGTTTCGCAAAATTAGGAGGTCTTGGAGCTTATAGTATAGATATTCCGACGTGCCTGCGCTCTTCCACTATAAGCACTATAGGTATTAAATCCGAAAACTACCAAACCGATGGAAAAACCGCGTAGTTGCCGCCATATTAATTTGAAAAACGCGTTATTTTTTGTGTTGATACTCAACCTTTGGGAAAATCACGTTTTTTCCGCAATATTGAGGTGAAAAACGTTTAATCTATGATTTTTTTCTTTTGAAACCCCACGATAAATAACATATTTACCAGGATATCGAAGCGGGATACCTACGCGGAATTTTCCTTGTTTTTAAAAAATCGGTTATTCCGACTCACTATACAAAGTTTCCGGGAATTTTCAAAATAATTTAAAAATAAAGATAACCGAAAATTTCGTTGCGATATTCTCGTTCGTTCTTTTCGTAAACCCATAAAAAATAAAACGCGACGCGCAGTACTAGGTTTGCGGCGATTGCTGCGTCGCGAATGTCAGGTAAGAGAACGCGGCTGCGTGATCTTCGCAGTTTGACGCGCCTTCAATCCGGCTGGCTGCAACATGCCTACATCCGTGGTCGAATAGTCGTATCATTGCGCCTGCCGTGGATGAACCGAAATACCGACGGTTGCGCGCGAATAAACGCGTATTTATCTCCGGTTGTAACGTTGCACACATCTACTGGTGTTTTATTTTTAATCGATGTGTTTTACAAAGCTTCCTGTAGTTTTCTCAAGGTTTTCCGGAAATTTTCTGAAATGATTTATAAATAAATATCATAGAAAGTTTGACGCGGTACTCTCGTTTTTCCATTTTCTTCAATCCAAAAACGAATCAAATACAGTTAAATTTTTTGAATCGTCATAGCTGAAATTCATATTTCAATTTAACTGTAGTAAAACAGGGCAAAAAGTGAAAATAATGACGCGTATTCTTAGGTTTGCGGCGATTTCAGCGTTGCGCCGGCGACATCGGCTAATCGATGTGTTTTACAAAGCTTCCTGTAGTTTTCTCAAGGTTTTCCGGAAATTTTCTGAAATGATTTATAAATAAAAATCAAAGAAAGTTTCGACGGGGTATTCTCGTTTTTCCATTTTCTTCAATCCAAAAACGAAAACCCTTTGCAGTGGTGAATGCATAGCTGAAGTGCGCTCCAGCTAGAATTTTATTTAGCAAATGGGTGGTTTTTTATCGAGAATTAAAAAGAAACGAGCGGTGCGGATTACAACAGAAGAATATGAACTGTAAAACGATAATCCGGGTATCGGAACTTGGCCGTTTTGAAAACGCCTTCAAATGCGGCGTGATACCTCACGCATTCCGGAGAGTTCAAATAGTTGTATCATTTCGCCGTAATAATGTGACGGAAGATTGAAATGGAAATAGCCTCCGTGCACGCTGGGCGTGTCGATTTCCTTTGACATATTTGCAGTGGTGAATGTATAGCTGATGTGCGCTCCAGCTAGAATTTTATTTAGCAAATGGGTGATTTTTTATCGAGAATTAAAAAGAAACGAGCGGTGCGGATTACAACAGAAGAATATGAACTGTAAAACGATAATCCGGGTATCGGAACCTGGCCGTTTTGAAAACGCCTTCAAATGCGGCGTGATACCTCACGCATTCCGGAGAGTTCAAATAGTTGTATCATTTCGCCGTAATAATGTGACGGAAGATTGAAATGGAAATAGCCTCCGTGCACGCTGGGCGTGTCGATTTCCTTTGACATATTTGCAGTGGTGAATGTATAGCTGATGTGCGCTCCAGCTAGAATTTCATTTAGCTAATGGGTGGTTTTTATAGGAGGATTTTTAATAAACAAGTGGTTAGAAATGGAAACAATATAATATGAACTATGCAAAACGATAATGCTGGTATCGGAAATTGGCTGTTTTGAAAACGCCTTCATATGCGACGTGATACCTCACGCATCCCGGAGAGTTCATATAGTTGTGTCATTGCGCCGTATGAATGTGAAGGAAGATTTAAATGGAAATAGGCTTCATGCACGCTGGCCTTTTCGATTTCCGTCCATATTTTTGCAGTCATGAATGCGCTTAAGTGCGCTTCAGCTATAATTGTATTTAGCAAATGGGTGGTTTTTATAGGAGGATTATAATTAAACAAGTGGTTAGAAATGGAAAGAAAATAATATGAACTATGCAAAACGATTATTCCGATAACGGAACTTGGCTGATTTGAAAACGCCTTCAAATGCGGCGTGATACCTTACGCATTCCGGAGAGTTCAAATAGTTGTATCTTTGGGCCGTAAGAATGTGACGGAAGATTTAAATGGAAATAGCCTTCATGCAGGCTCGCCACATCCCATCTCGAGCCCTGGTACCAGTTTTAAGTTCCGGGCCCCAAGCGCGGAGGGGGGGGGGGTCCGAGGGGCATCCCCTGAAAAATTCTAGACTTTATACGACTAATCGGACGCATTTTGAAGCTCCCATAAAGAATTTTTCCATCAATTTTTTCGGAATAATTATGTTTCTTTTTAATACTTTCAGCACAAAATACTCGCGAATTGTTGGATTTAAAACATTTGAAAAATTTCATATTTTTCTTTTTTTTTGTGGGGGGGGGGCATATGATATTATTTTCAGGTCTATGAGGGCCAGGCCCCCCTGGACTCCCCCTTCGTTTGTCTATGGCAAGGGAATTGAGCCATGAGGCATTGAAGTCGAGGATGCCCAGACCAGAGACTCTTAGCATCTGACAACGGAAGAAAATGAAACGCAGTTACTAAAAATATCCCTCTGTACTGAAAATCTTGAAAATAGATATAAATTTTCCAAGAAGTTTACTTCTTTGAAAATTTAAGAAGAATTCTACAGTGTCCCAGCGTGTTTCTGAAAATCTATTCACCCTTTGCGAAATTTTTAGGGTAAATTTTTCACTTTTTCTTACGAAACAAGGGTTGCATGTGAATTCGTAGTGGTTTTTCACGGGTAACACGGGCCCCGGGCCCTGGTACCAGGGACCCGGTTTCCCCCTCCTTGTTGCGGGCCTGGCGGTTAGGCCAATTGAACCACCCCGAACTGCTACCATCGTGTTCCATGCATTCCGCGGTTAAAAAAATAGCCCGAATGTGATTTGACAGGATATTGTGATGATTAACAAGGATGTTTGTGGTGCAGAATTGTCCTCAGTTTTCGCTGATTCTAAAGCATTATATAGGACATGGTAAGGTCAAATGAATCATTGAATAAATGGAGTACTTATCAATTAAACAATTCTACATCGAACCAAACAGCGCTTCACAAAATACCCATTAAGTACCACATTGAGAAAAACTAACTCAAAATCGCAAGGAGAGTTTGCTTTTTTTTCCTTTAAAAAAAAGATGTAAATAAAATTTGAGCGGAAGTCTGTAAAGTTGCAATCTTAGATATCTTCAACTTCATTTATTGTTATTCCTTTTGATAATTTTTAAAATCATTTCATAGGGAAATGTAAAAAAACCCTGCCGCAAGCGGCAGGGTTTTTCCGTGGGGTTGCCGGCAAGTAGGGGACGGTTCTTTTTGTAGTCCGCGCATTTACCGCGGCATGAGTGTATTTTCCGAAGGGTAGTGTCTCATTGGGGAGTGAAATCATTTACCCTACCCCTCTTGCCACAGATATGTTTCAAGAAACAGTTCCCCTTGGCTGCGCAACTCCTACCCCCTCCCCCTCACCCGTAAAAACGGTAAATTTCCACTATTATGGAGCGCGTTGGCCGCGAAAATTCAATAGGAAACCAGTCTTAGTAGATATCTGGGTGAATTCAAATAAGGGTCAAATTCCAGGTCCTATTTCCTCCCAAAATTTTTTTCTGAATTTTTGGGCGAACCAAACTTTATTTTGACTATCATTAGGTGTAGACTTAGGAAATATAGCTCGTCGAGCTTAATAGTTGGGCTTAAACCCGAATTTCCACCGTCAAGTGTATCACTTCCCAAAATTTGCCGTAATTTTGCCTGATTTCCTAAATTTTCATCTCAGAGGTGACATATAATACTTTTAATTAAAAATTGAACACAATTGTCATAAAGTGTCATAAGTGTCATAAAGTTGTCATAAATTGTCAGTGTCGAGCACTAAATTAAAGTATAATTGAAAACATGTAACCCTTTCATATCTTGCAGAACCAAAA